TGTGCGGGGCAGGCGCGCCACAGATATGAGCAAATGCTCATAACTTGATCTAAACTTGTTCTGGTTGCGTCGTTGGTCTCGGGCGTAAGCGCTGATTGGTTCAATTGTTCGATGTCGCGTCGTTTGATTCATTATCATCAGCCTATTAATTTCCCACTGCTGCGGCACAGGCCTTCCCTATGGATGGAATAAAGAAACCATGACCCACCACGCGAGCCCAGTGTAGATTGACGGGTGCTAACGACTGCAAATGCAGCCGGGACCAACGGTTTAATGTGCCTTCCGAAGCACGGAGGAACTCAAGATAGAAGATTTTTGATCACCCATCCAATGACCGACCACTGCGAAAGTTGCTTAACTTCAACAATCGCTGTCGAACGCGCTAACCACCCGGGCCGCCTAGCTCCTCGTTGGATTAGCTATTATCTATTAAGTAGAAGTGTAATGGAGGCGTCCCGGCGACATCGTTTCCCGTATAAACGGTATAAGACCCTTCTTATCTCTTTCTGCGTACGACTCGTGTGAAGGCTTCAAGTGTTCGTGTATATAACGGGCCCAGGTATTGTGCGAGTACCTACATACTTCACAAGGTCCAAGTTCCCTCTTGTGTCATTCTGCTGCACTCGAGTAAATCCCAAAATCCTTGCTTGGGCTCCAAATAGCGCTTCCGAATGCTATCTTAAATTTTTAAAACAGTGAAGCGTCCATTGCACCAGTTTGGAAACCCTGAGTGGTCCATTAGGGAGATAATTTCGCCATTATCGCCACACAAATAAACATAAATTAATGGCGTCGAATTGCGAACCTTATTGTTGCCATATTAAGTAGTGCCCATATCAAGTTCAAGGGTATGCACGCTATAAAAGAGCGTCATTTCGGTAGTTTGCCAGATCAGTTTAATAATATTTTTTTTAGTTCTTATTAATAGAGTGAAGCTTAATGGTGCAGTGGTTAACGCCAGTCTGCGATATTGGAAGTTAAACAAATTTCGCAATGACCGGATGGGTTTTGTCCGCGAAGCAATAAAAACCGCGTCTGCCCATCGATGTCTGCGGCTGCCCGCGCCGCGTACACAAAGCACACGACGGGCAGAGGCAGTCAGTTCAGGACGTTCGTTCTAGTTCTGTCTTAACTGCTGGATGTTTGGATCTACAGAAAATTTAATTAGAAGAAAATCCACGCCGACCAGGCGGCAGACGGGACTCGAACCCGTGGCGCTGCCTTGCAGCCTAATAAATACTAGAGAAAATTCGACACGGCAATTAAAGCCGTAGTAGTATAATGATCAGTGCATCCGCCCGGATAGCGGAGGGTGCGGGTTCGGGCCCCGTCCGCTGCAAGGACCGCGTGGATTATTTTCCAGTAAAATTTTCTTAAAAAATTTACTGTCTCAAACTTTTCGGAATTGGAAAGCAGGTTGAGCTATTGATCCCGGCTGCATTTGCAGTCGTTAGCACCCATCAATCTGGAACTGTACTCATGTGATGGGTCATGTGTGGGCTCATGGTTTGATCTTGCAATTGTATTGCAAGATCTGTGCTCCAGCAGTTGGAAGATTAATAGGTTACAAGCCGTTGCACGGGTCCCAACCAGTCTACCGCGAGCTGCTCTGGAAGTGACACCGTACTACTTTGCGATCCAGAAAAAAACACGTGCTAGGCTAAAATCCTGTAAAAGTGATTTATTATTTATTATACCTTTATTTGCTGCATTTTGGTGATTTACATATTTACTGAACCTCGCATCCTGATGATGATGATAGTTAGGGAATGGGGGTTCCATATTCGAGTGCGGTAAAGTACCATAAGATATAGCTATTAAAATCCTCCGCTGTTCTTCATGCACCTAGGTACCTATTATAAGACAGCTGAAATTTTCACTGAATCTGTTTTACCTATAAAAAAGATAATAGTAAGAACAAATTTTGTTTTTTCGTCGATTTGTCCTAACTTTGTGTCAGCTTGATACGCTACCCCACATAATATTGAATTTAAGAAAAGGTCATCAAGAGATTCGTGCATTATCCCCCTCTCAGGGGATAATCGCTTCAGATGAAGCTTGTGGCCCTTCAGACCATAAGCATATACTACGGGTGTAATTTATTCAGTAGGAGTCTGACATAACCTAGCAGCCGGCTGTAGGGTATCCATGAGGATTTCACACCCGCTACCCCAGCTGGGAGGAATAAAAAAAAAAGATTCGAGAAGATAGCTGATCATTACGGCAGGTATGTGTGTCGCTCTACTTTAGCTATTGAATTTAAGAAGCCTCACCTTGCCATCTTGAAAAAAATCCCTACCCCGTGGACCGCTGGAAGCATGCCATACAAACACAACACCATTGAAAGGTATGTTGTTTACTCTGTAAGATATATTCTATACATATAGAAAAGCCTTAAACGTTTTAGAGGAACACGTTATAATCTTTGAACTTGGTACACAATGTTAGCTTTATCAATATAACCAACATTAACATATTAAGGCACAAATGATCATTAACCGTGACCCTTAAAGGCCTTACATACAATACAGGTAGATAAGGAACATTGAGTAGGTAATTGCCGTGTGAAATTGCGAGCTATATTTCAATACTTGCTAGGGTCGATTGCACTCCTGATTTGATATTATCAGTTCTAAAGTAACGTAACATACTGTGGTAACAACTATCTTTTTAGAATGATATTTAATTATAATGATAAATATAAGATTAGCATCTTTTAGCTATAATCTCGACTTAGGGAAATTTTCGCCAACGATTAGGTTTTACACAGAAATATTAATTTTATAAAGTATTTAGCTACAGATATAAGATATAGGTAATATGTATAATAGTAGGGGTATAGATCCTTCCCCCCTCTTTTCACAGGAGAAGGGGAGAGGTGACGTGGCCGACCGGGAGGGGGGAGAGGGCCGGGGAGAACTATTCTCCCCAGCAAGGCCGGGAAGCTGCTGGGTGCGGGGATGCGGAGAAATCCCTCACCAAGGGAATCTCGCGGCTCCGCATCAAGCAGTGTTGAAGGTATTCGCAGGACTTTTTAGCGGTTATTATGCCGTAAAGCGCTCGTAACAGGTGCGGGGTCCCCGGTGGGCAGCCACTGGGGGGTCCGTATGACTTGCGGGAGCCAGGTGTGAGGTCCGTTCGGCGGAGTGCCTCTTAAAGGCGCCGTCGTCTGTAAAAAGATTTTTTACCTGCGTTATAAAAAAAAGGGGGTATAGATCCAATAATAAGAGTTGGGGTGCCCGAGCCGGGATTTACTCTAGCGCGGCTAAATAACTATATAGTGTCTCACAGACAGACGCGGCCGGGATGATGGCCAGTTGTATTCGCTTGCGCTGTAAGTGAGTGGTCAAACACGAGTGACCGATCAGGGCTGGCTGCGGCCGCAGGCCACCTGTCTGTGCGACCCTTAGGGGCAACTTTGCACTATGTGAAGTACTCCCATCCCACCACACTGCCCTTTATAGTGTCAAACGTCTAGGGAAGCAAAAATATTTTCAACAATCAACCTTGACTTTTGGTGACCAAAAGTCAATGATGCTGTGAACCTTTCTGTAGCTCTTATTCAAACGACTGACGATATTTTGCTGAAAAGCATGAAAGTACGCAGAAAGTAATAGCAGAAAAAAGTAAGGCATAGCGTATTTTCAACTCGAATTGGAGCGCCCGGCAGGGGAAGTAACACTACCTTTTGGTAGGTTTGTGTTATACATTGTGTATAATACAAGTCTTTGAACAAAAACTATAGTTTAGATAGTATTGCCAGGTCCGATTTGTTTTAAATCGGTACATGAGGTCAAAAAATCGGGATTTAGGGTTGCAGATCAGAACAGTAAACAAAAAGCAAGGGGTTTTTAAGTCTGGGTTTAATTTATTGCGTTTTAAACTACTAGTAAAAGTACAGTATTATATTAATTAGGTACCTAAATTTTTTTTCGGATTAATCGGGACATTTAGCGTCCCGATCAGGTAAAAATCGGGATGCGTCCCCAGACCCCTGAAAATCGGGACGTACCGCGCAAATCGGGACACCTGGCAACACTAAGTCTACACCACAGCTCTACACCGAAGCGAAGCGAGGGCGCGCCACTAGTATTATAATAATTTCAGGGCACTCACAACAAGTCATAAGTAAATAGGGGCTTTTGTAGTTTGTCCCTACCCGTTCGTTCGTGTTTTTCTTTAGAATAGCCTCCGTGGATACTGCAGAAATGAAAGGCTAATTGTGTTATTTTCCTGAAAGATTATACCTATATAAGTAAACTCATTGAATAAAAAACCTTGGTCACAAAGGTCACACTTCCGTGGAGTGACAGCCGGCGGAGCGTACGATCTGATTGATTTTACTTTTTTCCTGAGCATTAAAAGATGCGCAAACTTTTTACTGGTTCGTTCTATTATTCTTAATTACCTCACTCACCACTCTACCACACCTCAGTGGTGCGTTGTTAATTAAATACTTACTTAACATCCTAACGGCACCACTAATATATCATCTTGTAGATAGACAAACTATGAACAGTGACGAAAAATTCAGTTTGTCTCTTGCAAATAAACAATTTATTATGAGCCATTCGGTTTTTTACAGTCATCATTAATTTACCCCTAGAATCTTGAAAGACCAGGAATTTATCAATCACGCGCTGCCAACCCTGATCATATGCTCCCACCTCGTGTAAAACTAACTTCCTCAGTGGAGAAACTACTAACACAACAAAAAAAAAGATCAGACTTCTCAGTGAAACGATTTCTCATAAAAGAAACTGGTATATTTTGATATTTGCATAATGGTATTGCCATGGCTATTGTATCCCATAAACTAAGCCTATAGCGGTGCAATAGTGGTGACGAAATTGGCAAGCGTTGTACGTATAGTAATATTATAGTATGTACCTATATAGCATATATACAAAACTGTGTGTACAATTTGTTCGTTCAACTTGCGCACCTGAGCACCATTGACCGAACCGTTTTGGTCTAGAGCAGTCGTGTGACGCAATAAAATGGTTTTAAAAAACACATTAGTTTTTTCTGTGTTCGTAATTGTTTCGGTGGCATCTAGACCGTCTTCGCCATTGATAAAAAATGTGAGTAGCTAATAATATTCCTATTAATTAATTATTTCAAAATTCAGAGTTGGTTTTTTTCATTGATACGACCGGGAATCGATCTCGTAATCTTTCCAATGTAACGGCGATCACGGCTACTGAGAAATTATGTACCTACCTCATAATCAAGTCTCTTTTGGCTATGAAGTGAAGACTGTTGTCTTCTTAGTAAAGGTACCTAGTAGTAAAAAGGATTTTTTTTACTTAACTTAATAATATAATAAAAAAGGACTGCTTCTTATGTTTTCTTAAAACAAGAATTTAAATAAATGCGACTATCTGTTGTCTTCATTTTATTAGGTACTTAAATACGAATAATTCTAATCGTGATGAGTGACATCTAATGATAGCAGATAAGCAAGTAGATCAATAACGAATCTTGTTTTTATTTATGGTAGTGTTTTTACAAACATCGAATTCGAAAGGTGTGGTGTACGTGAAGCCTTGAAACAAACTGACATAATCATCGCTTTGAGCTCTTAATATTTGTAAAAGTTAATTTGCAAAGAGCTCTAACCAGGTGGATATATATTATGTTATTAATTATCATGTATAGCCAATTAGTGCTGGCTAGTACAGACGATTAATCATTTAAAACAACTGACAACTTGAACTCACAATTGAAGAAGTTACTGCTTTGCCGCTGGAAGGCAATGAAAAAACTTTTCCTATGTAATATAATGTGAATGGTACATACTTATAAATACCAATGCGAAAGTAAAGCAAATCAATTACCCCATCGGATATTATTTGTAAAGCTCGATGGCGCAAGTACGTAGACATTGATGTCGATTCCGGCGTGATTCTCTAAGCTTATAACTAAATTTAACATCAGTCCCTCCTTTTCATTCTGTAGAGAGAATGACAAGGATACACTATTGTCAAATTAAGGTTTAGGTTTAGAGAATCATGCCAGAATCGATACCATTGACCATATAAATAGGGATAGGGATGATGACGACAAACGAAATTCTATTTAGGGCGATAGTAAAATTGTCAAAAAATACCGGACACATATTTTTTATTTTGTCAATCAACCTCGTTTCATCATTTCCAAGTAAAAAGTGTACCAAGATGTGACGTCATGCGAAACTTCAAATTAATATTTATCTGTAATTTTTTGTTTATGTGAATAAAGAAAAAATGGGGATCCAATGATACTTTTTAATAATCTACCTGAGGCAAATGCACGCATTTTGACAGCTCCGTAATCGTATCGGCAGCTGTCAAAATTCGTGCTTGGTCGTCTGACTGGGGCCGCATGATAGGTCCATCGCCCAATCTCCCGATTCCATAATAATAAGCTACACTACATAAGATTATGATGATGTTCCTTGAACCCTCCTGTGGAGCCCTGGAAAATTTACTCGCCAACAGCAACATCAACAAAAGTTCGTGTTATTTTTTTCTTCTGTACTTTGGGGGTTAGTAATCTAATCTGCTCACAGGTGTATCCCGGTGGCATTCATTTTGAGGGTCCCCATTGGTCCACGTCGGAGAACGCTCTTTACTGGGTGGATATATCAGGACAGAAGGTCCTCAGGCTAGATGAAACTGGCAATGTGACTACTAAGGATATTGGTATGTTTTTTTTTATAATTTTTTTTAGCCGACCCGACAGACGTTGTCCTGCTTGCCTGGGGGCCATTCGCCTAACGGAAATGCTTAACGCTTTCGATTTCATTATGTTATTTCTGACCGCCAAAGGTTTTCAAATACCTCACGCTCATTTTCTTTAATATTGTTATTACCAATGCAAAAGAAAAAAAAGAGCGCGAGGCATTTGAAAACCTCAGGCGGCTAATAATAACAAAATGAAATCGTAAGCGTTAGCGTTTTCCAAAGCATTTCCGTTAGGCGAATGGCCCCCGGATACGAAAATAAAAAAGCATAACCATGTAACCAACCAAAATGTATAACCCGACTGAAGCGCCGCCTACCAGGAACAGTTGTATGTAATTGTATGATAATATTTTCTAGTATTACTATTAATTTGTAACTTTAGGTAGCTGAAGTAGTTTATAAATCTGAGGTAGAGTTAATTACACCTACCACAGAACTAGTTTTAAATACGACGCAAATGCGCCAAGTTGTGATGCGTATGCATCAATGATAAACGAGGTGGAAAAGCATGGGCAACCCCTTCCGATTCTATCGTTTTACAGCTTATTACGACACAATTTGACGTTTTGATATATGATTGCAATTGACATCCGTGTCGAGAAAAGTGATAAAAAATAAAATTGCCGAATAGGAAGACATTTCGTCTCTCTTCTGGCATGTTTTTAGCACGCGAAGTACACAAGACACTTGCGGTATCTATTTCGAACTATGTCTGTGGTACATATGATATATAACCATAGAGGTATAAGAATAGAGTAGGGATGATATAGACTCTACTACAAGTGGAAGTGTCCCTCTAATAGAAAGAGAAAGAAGTTGAGAGACCGCTAGCTTTTCTCTCTAATCGCGCATGCGCATTGGCAACCGTAAGCACCTTACTATTTCGATGTGATGTCATTGAATGCCATGCGTTAGAAGAGAGAGAGATAACTGGCGGTCTCTCATGTTCTTTCTCTTTCTACTAGACGGACACTTTTAGAACCGCCTTCCCCACTCTATTCTTATACCTCTATGTATTTACCACGTTTTTATCACGCTCAGTTGTCAAATTACTATGGAGTTTGACAATTAGACGCGATAAAAAGTGTGATATAATTCAAATTGTGGTGCTCATGCTACGAGACCATCCTGAGTTAGTAATTTGTTAGGCAATCTATAAGAATAAGATATAATAACGATTTTAACACTGTCGATTTGGATGCCGTATTACGCTCTATTAAGATATCTCCAACGGTAATTGGCTGGTTTCACAGTGATCTATATGAGCCGTAGGCAGCGTGATCGCCTTGATGACAAATTCTTGTCATGGTGCGACACGTCTGCTGGCGTTCCACAAGGCGGCGTATTATCTCCTCTTCTTTTCGCAATATTGATTAATTAAATTTCTCTTAATTTATATTCTTCCTGCCACCTTTATGCAGACGATTTACATATATATTTGAGCCTAATAGAGCCTGCTCTTAATAAATAATAAAAATATTAAGGAAGCATTGTTTATAACTAATGTTGATCTGTGTGTCGAATTGTGGAATGGAGTAAAGCTTCTGGCCATAATGTTATCCCTATCAAAACTCAGGTCATGATAGTCGGTAGCTCTAGAATATTGTCTCAGATTAACTGGACTACTCTTCCTTAAGTTAAATTCGAAGTAACTGACATATCTTATAGTGCAACGGTAAAGAATATCGAAGTGATAATGTACAGTTCATTGAGCTGGAAACAGTACCCTTAGTACGAGTTTTACAATTACGAAAGCTATGATAGTTTTCGTGAGCTCGCACTCGTACTAAGGGTACTGGTTTTATTGTTTTGTTTCAATACAAATAAACAGTGTTTAAATTCTATCATTAAATCGTTGCGTCTTCTTAAATTTTAAAAATATTTGGTTACTTTTCACCAAAGTGGACATAGAAACATAATTTACAATTACGAAAACTATGATAGTTTTCGTGAGCTCAAACTCGTACTAAGGGTACAGCTAGGCTGTAAGTCGAAAACCGTATGCGTCTTTCGGTTCGTAAAGGAGATTGCATAACTTTTTACCCACTGCAACTAAAATTATGCTACTTATCTCAATCTCTGTTGCTTCCAGTCCTTGACTATGCTGACGCCTGCTATCTAGCTCTTACGGAGGACCAGCTCAATAAACTTGAGCGCCTTCAATATTTGTACATCAGGTTCATATAAGTATATAGTTTAAGAAAATATGATCATGTTTCCCAGTATCGTTCTCAACTCAAGTGGCTTCCAATTCGTCGTCGCCAGAATACTCATATACTTTCCCTTCTTTACAATGTTTTGTTTAATATTTATAAACATTTGTATATTATTAAAGTAGGTATTTATGAGTATGTTTAATCGTGAACCTTTTATTGTATTTTTTTATATCATCACACCCCCTCTTTTATTAAATCGTCTCTCCATCCTATGGTTGTCTGGAAGAAATAGCTATAAAGCGATAAGACCGCCAATTTGTCACTATTTTAACTTTTTTTCCTAGTGTGTAATATTTAATGTGGTGTGCACATTAAAGTGTTATCTATCTGTGTGCTGTTAATTAATTAAAAGTACCTACATATGGAGAACAAACTCATTTTTACCGCGGAATTCACCAGTGTTATTTGAAATTTATTGATAATAATTTAATTTCAAATTACAACTCGGATTCCGTGGTGAAAAGTGAGTTTGTTGTTATTACAGAAATTTCCATATAAGTGTACCTTTTTTTGCCATAGCTCTATATAACATAGTGCCATAGCAACATTAATTAAAGAAGTTAAATTGAAAATTGTAAAAAATATTAAAAATTACCTACATAAAAAGTTAATTTATGTCAGGTATATTTGCACAGCTAAAGAAAATGGATATTAAATAACTATTGTTTAATAAAATATGCTATTCATTTATCATATGAATACCTGAGAAACAAAAAAACTACTGTATCGAAATTATTGTATATTTAAGCATTATGTAAACATTAATGCTTTTGTATCGTGATGCAGCAGGTGAAAACTTGAATTTTAAATTAAAAAAAAATTTGCATATCGGACACAAAAGGAACACTCAAGGTCTCATCGGTCAATTAACTAATTGTAATAAAACCAAGTTGATTATTTTAAATTCGGAATCGCCATCCCCTTCACAACTAAAGTATCAATGTGATATTATTTTATTTATAAACATTATTATTTTATTTATAAACAAATATATATATATATACCTAGTCAGGTCATAAATTCTGTCACATGTTTAATATAAAACAATTGAAACAAGTTTATATACCATAATGAACTTAACAAAACTTGAGATTCTTATGACAATAAAGTTTATTCAAAATGACCTCCGTGATTTTGAATACAGGCCTTCAATCTGCGCGGCCAGTCATCTATCGCAGCACGAACGAGGTCCATGTCAATATCGGCGGCTGCCTTAATCAAGGATGTCTTGAGTGACTCCAAATTGGGATGAGGCTTTGAGCACGCCTTTTCCTCCAAGTGCTGCCATATCTTGTAATCTAACGGACTCAAATCTGGACTGGAGGAGGGCCAGTCTTCGTGCCGGATGAAGTCGATTTGCAGTCTTGTATGCTCTTCGCTCTATGATCTGGCGCCGAATCATGTTGGAATACCCAGTGCCTGTTATTGAACATGGTATTAGAAACAGGTTCCACAAGGTTCGTCAGGACTGTATTTTGATATACAACTGCATTCGTTTTTACACCTTTCTCACAAAGATGTACCTCTATTAAGCCCCAATAAGAAACTCCCAACCATACCACGAGCGAAGATGGAAAATGACCTCGTTGGACACGCGGAATACGGTTGCTAGCTTCTTCAATACTGTGTGCGTACACCTTATCATTTTGTTTGTTGTAGCTCTCTTCTACGGTAAAAATTTTTTCATCCGAAAAAAGAATTTCCCGATATTTTTTTCCCGCGTACCGCTTCAACAAAGCGCGCCATCTCTTCAGTCTCAGGTCCATTAGATGAGTATTCAAACGATGTCCTGTTTTTCTTCGATATGCCCGAAGCCCTAAGTCTTCATTTAACACCCTATTCACCGTGGTTCTGCTTAACCCCATCTGAAGGGCCATCAGTTTCTGACAATAAGGACATTATACTATATAACCCATGATGCAAATTACTTAATAGTTATTAAAACTTACAAAATGTAGAAGTCTGTGCGGAAAGAGAATAGGCGTGGCGAAAAACGGAACTTACATTTAGATTTTTATTTGGCAATCAAACCCAGCAATCTGTAAAACGTCAAATTTTTGTATTGATACGGATTTGTTTGTTGTTGTGATTTCTTATGGTTTTTTGTATTTAATCATGTCTAAAAGGGGTAAAAACCTTACAAATACGGTAGAAAAGCACTACAGCGTCCTCCGATCTAAATCCCATTCTCTTTTCGCACAGACTCTATGACATTATATTAAGCATATAATAGCCAGGTGTTTTTGTTTTCGCTTGAAATAAGTATGTGCGAAGTACTAAATTAATGAATTTCGTCTCAAATTGACTAACTTTACATTATTCCAGGTTACGGCCCCGTCACCCTAGCGGTGTCGGTGAAGGACTACCCTAAGATGCTGGTAGTAGCTGTCCGCTCAGGGCTCTACTTCCTGGATTGGAATGCGAGTCCCGGGGATGCCGCCCTGCGACTCCTGAGTGTCGTCGACGTGGGCCTGCCCGACAACAGATGCAACGACGGCAAAGTTGACGCTAAAGGCCGTCTCTGGTTTGGTTAGCACTATCCAGTAACTTTTTTATTTTAAAGTATTTCCTCGCACCTGCCCAAAAACAGGTGCAACGATGGCAAAGTTGACGCTAAAGGCCGCCTCTGGTTTGATAAGTACCACCTAGTAACATCTTTGTTTCAAACTATTTCCCCGGCCCTGCCCGACAACAGGTGCAACGACGGGAAAGTTAACGTTAAAGGCCGCCTCTGGTTCGGTCAGCACCATCAGACCGGCAAAGTCAAGACCGCCAACAGACTGATACTCTGGTATCGCAAGTGTGTATAGCTTTCTACTTCTAGCTTCTATAGACGTTGGCCATATCCTTTCTTCCACCCTTTTTATAAAATAACACATACACACACAAAGTCGTTAATTTACCTAAGTAGGCACTTGTTTAATAATTATTTCTTAATTAGTTTTTATAATGTTTACCATTAAAATTACGCACTTGAAGAAATGAGATAACGGGGAGATTAACAAAGTATTATTTTGATAAGACTGAAGTGCCTATGATTTGCTTAATACTTCTTTTTATAGATAGATACGACAAATGAGTTAAGTCCAGACGTGAAGATAGTTGGTACACACCAGCCGTCCTGCATGTTGCTTCTTCACGCCTCTTTTAAAGGAGCCCAGGTTGTAAGAAGGAGGAGGGAACACGTGAGCGGGCAGAGCATTCCATTATATACTAGAGGTGATTCGAAGATAATGTGATCATCGGACCCAAATTATGGTTGTGTTTTCTCACGTTGTGGGCCTCCCAAATGATTCTTTACGTGTTTGAGAATGTTGAGAGACATAAAGGTATTTCTTTATCTCTCAGCCTCAATTTCTGTTATACTACTGGACCAATTCATACGTTTTAGCAGCGCTGACACAAGCCTTTGATCAAAAGGTCTGGTGGGGTAGTAAGACCCCTTTCAGCGCCCTTTAATTACCTGTGACCTCACGTATATTCTATTTTCCGCGGGATATTGTTTTTGCATTTGGTTATTTCTTCCACACGCTCTATGTAGGACTCTATCTTCCTTATTCCGAAACGCGAACTAAAGTTAAGTCATGGTTTGCTGTCTCTGCCTTCTTATTACAAGAACAAAAGTGACAGCGTATTGTAATAGAGCGGTATATGTTTTCCGTGATAACCTAAACAGAGATTAAAACAGCCTTCGTTTCATTACAGGCACGATTGGCAAAGAAGTAGGGGACTTTCTAGACAAAGACCAAGCCACTCTATACATGGTGGACTCGAACAACTATCAGTATCCGGCTGTCAAGGTGCGGCCCGTGTCAGTGTCCAACGGCATAGCGTGGACCGCGGACAGCAAGTTCATGTTCTACATAGACACGCCCACTAGGAACATTGACGTGTTCAACTACGATCTGGACACTGGAATCTTAAGTAAGTTTTGAATCGGAAAGTGCTGAAGCATTATTATGATACTCCGTTATCATGGCACTTGCAACAGTGTCGAAATATCGGAGACTCGTAAAAACGAGGTACATGGTGGAAGACCTCCTAAAATCTATAATGGCCATGAAAGTGGCAAGCAATATAGAGGTCTGCCTCTTGCACTCCTTTACAGCATTTGCTGCTCGATCTATGGAGTGTCCCTGCCTCGGAAATCGTCGCCGGCCTTTTTTGTAAAGTAACTTTTGATATCCTTTGTAATAAAAAAGTGAATCGCAAATGACGACGTAGGTAAGATATTCTGTACCTTTCGCACATGATGTCATGTAGGACAGTACTAAGTAGAGTGCGAGAAAGACATTCTGTCTTGCGTCGGTATTTTCCATTTGTTTCTTTAATAGCACGAGTTATTAACCAGTTTTCAATGTGTCGCCTACTCTTAGGTGTACTGGGTTCGAACCCCGGTAGTGACAAACGTTTGTATGATGATATTCTGTAGAGTTATTCTCGTCGAGGTAGCAATTCAGGTACATATCATCGCACCAACGCAACTGGATAGTTTGGAATTTTTTGAGTTATACTAAGATTAGGTACACATCTGACACCATATTTCCTGGCAAATTCCATGAGTTTCGAAGAGAGGCAGGGCAATTTACTATGCAATTCGAATTGTAGCACTGATTTGATGGACGGCCATCACACATTTTGATCAAAATAACGATTGCTAATTTTGTGGTAATGCTAACGATAATTTGTTTATATTCGTAGGGAACAGGAGGACGCTGTTTAGTTTCAAAGCCAATAATGTGACGGGGCTGCCTGATGGAATGACCATAGACAGTGATGGAAACCTGTGGGTTGCATGCTATGATGGAGGGAAGGTAATAATAACACTTACGCCTACTTTATTAGTGCTGTATCTTTTAGAAAATAAGACCATCATTTTAATATTAACATTAAGAAATATGGCTGTGGAAGTCAGAATGGGACGTCAAATTTCCAGGAGACTACTACTTAATTTCGGGGTAGTTTAGAGGCCCAAGCTCGAACTTTGACAGCTCTTCATCATATCGCATCGTAAAAGTTTCTATGAGAAGTAAGCAGCACCCCTACCGGACGTAAGAACAAACTGACTCTTCCCGTATAAAATTTGAAGATGACAATAGGGGTGATGACGGGGTATAGTAAACGAAATTCTATTTAATCCGTCAGTTAGATGATCAAAAAATAATGGACACGATTTTTTTCTTTGGGCAATCAACCAAAAAATGACAAAGTTGTAGCGCGTCAAAGTTTAGGGGCTCGTGACGTCACTTTTAAGTGAAAATTGTACCAAAACGTGACGTCATGCGATTTTCAAATCAATATATCTCTGCAATATTTATATTATGTGTAATTTATGATAAACTACCTGATAAACGAAGAAAAAAAATTGTCATCATCCCTATTACGAAGCTGTAAAAGTTTGGGCTGGCTTGGGCTTCTGGATATAACACCTCAAGAGATTTCTCAAAGATGATATGGTTATTTTTTCAGTGTTATTAACTTGAACTAATGGCTCAATTACACTCAGTCGTTAGCACGTATTCGGGTGGACCAATAAAACCATTACGCGAATTCTTCCACCCGAAGCAATATTTACACTGGAGTACGGACTGGAAGACAGTGTCGGGTAACCAAAACTACCTGAATATGGGCGTACTCACAGAACACAGAAGAAGGTTAGACAGGCCTCGTGGGCGGGGCAGGCGCGTCACAGTTGTGTAAGCAAATGCTCATAACTTCACCAAAACTTGGTTCTGATTGAGTCGTTGCTCTCGGGTGTGAGCGCTGATTGAGGGTGTATTCCAAAATATACATTAGTATACTGGCCAGTGGTAATGACGTCACGAATCCGACGCCATATTGTACTGGTATGCTACCATATTTTTACCGGAAAAACGAATATGACGTATGACCGAGCGTGCGTGAGAAGCATTCAAATTTTATTTCTTTTTATTTAAAGAACAATAACGGCATCCGAACAAAAAGAATTCCTATTAATTGGTGAGGTGAATAAAAAATCTTCTTTATTCGCATTATTTATAACATTTCGTCGATTTATGACGTCAGTGCACTGGCCAGTATATTTCGGAACAATTCACCAGTATATTGTCGATTCATGACGTCATTAGCACTGGCCAGTATACTGGTATATATTACGGAATACACCCTGAGTCGATTGTTTGATGTCTCGTCGTTTTATTGGCTATTATCTATAACGTGGAAGTGTAGTGGGGGCGAGCCGGCGACATCGGTTGCCGTACAAACGGCCTATGAGCACCTTTCTAATCTCTTTCTCTGTTCTGTGGGCGTACTCGACTCCGTTCATTTACCCGAATTCCATTGCCGTCGTATTCGTGCTAACGCCCAAATGTAATCGCGCCGTAAGATTTTCAACAGTATATCCAAAAAGGTTCGCCCCTAAAATGTAATTGTAATCTTTTTTCAGGTGATCAAAATCGACTCGAGGGCGGGAAAGCTCATAGAGCAGCACAAGATAAAAGCTTCCAAAGTCACTTCAGTCATGTGGGGAGGTCGTGACCTGTCCACTTTGTACGTGACCACCAGTCGTCGAGGGCTCACTCCCACGGAACTAGCGACCCAACCCGAGGCGGGGTCACTGTTCGCTATAGAACGCACGGGCTCTAGAGGAAGACCGGAAAACCAATTCGTCTTTCCTGGAGCTGATAGTTATTAGGCGAGCTAATAAGTTCACATATACCTATGAAAATAAGTGAGCGCGTCTAACACGAACGTCGTCGTACGTCTCACTGTCATGTTTTATGGAGATATTTTTGTGACTTCCATTTTTTGTGTGACTTCATAATAATACTTGAGATATTTTCTTCACTTGCGTGTAAGCCGGTTCCGGGGAGTTCCCTTCTCAAGCAGGCTACCTTACTTTGGTATAATTCATATTGAACGGAATTTTATTTATGTAAAGTTTTTTTTATAATCTTGTTGAAGTAAATGCTGTTGCATTACATTTGTTATTATATAATATTTTATTCAAATTGTTGTTTTATTCATTGTTCAACCTTTTTTATTCTAACACTTCACCAATTTGCCTATATAGCCCAAAAGTAAGCACTGTAAGGCGTGTGTGGTAACAGATATAGAACACTTACATATACTGATACATATTTATTTATCTAGAAATATAATAATATATAAAAGATAATATGAGGAGCTCGATGGCGCAGGTCGTTAGCGCATTCGGCTGCGATGGTTGAAGTTAAGCAACATCCGCAGTGGTCGGTCATTCAATGGGTGACCAAAACATCTATCTCGAGTTCCTCCGTGCTTCGGAAGGCACGTTAAGCCGTTGGTCCCGGCTGCATCTGCAGTCGTTAGAACCCGCCAATCCGCACTGGGCTCGCGTGGTGGGTCATGGCCCAATCTCCCTATTCCATCCATAGGGAAGGCCTGTGCCCCAGCAGTGGGGACATTAATAGGCTGATGATGATGATGATGATAATAATATGTTTTATAAACATCCATGACAAATGCCCGTTATCAGTATTAAGTAACATTTGCCCCACCGGTATTCGAACACGGGACCTCTGAGTGGGCGACCGACACCTCAAATAATTTTATGTGGATTGGTGGATTTGAATGACTGCCGATGCAGTCATTATGTTCTATCATTATTCAGGCATTGACATTCCAGTGGGGAGACCTAAGCCGGACAGAGCTCTCGGGTTCTTAGTGATGTGATCTACCAAAAATCTAAGCGATATGTTAGACTCACGAGTAATTTGTTGTATGTTTAATAATGAGTTTAAATGATGACTGATTAATTGCCTCTTATTGTCATACCTTTCACATAATAAGTTCCATGCTGATGCGTAATTATCACTGGATACCTATAAGTTTGAAATAATTCTAGAAGCATCACCCTCCAAATAGGAAATCAAATAATGAAACTTATGTATGGGTGCTATACGTTCATTGTTATGTATAATAGAGAAATATGAGTCCCGAAAGTCGAACCAGCGGAAGTAAGCACCGTCAAAGTTTGCAATTTGTATCTCTGGCAATTTGAAGGGAACCTCTTCGTTATCAGCACTAAGACGAACAACAGACCTATTGCTAGAAATCAGATTATCATGGGCTACATTAGTTTCACTCTTTGCCTGATAACTTTGAATAATATTTTGAGCTGTGGCAATGTTAGTAACAAAATTCTGTTCAATATCATCTCTTTCATCAATTTCTGCTGACAAACAGAGTTTAATACCTCTATTTGACTTTGCAATTCGTCGAATTTATTAAATTGTGATTCAAACCTTCTCAACTTCAATTTTAACTCGGATAATTCAAATGACCTTAATTCATCCTTAGAACGAATTTTGGCCAAAAAAATTTAAAACATCGTAATTCTACCCTTTAATAGAACTTCGTTTAATAATTAAGTATTGTGACTCTTGATGATTATCACTCATCACTGTTTCCTTCACCTTCCTTGGTCATTTTATAATAAAAATTGAATAACTTTGTATGAGTATTGAATATTAACTGCTATTACTTAGTCCATGATAGTGATGAAAACAAGACAATTGATAAAAAAATGAAAATGCTCACGTTCCTTAATAAGGCCGGCTTGAACTCAGCTTCTGTTATCACCTTCACTTTATTGATTTGTTCCAAATTTTATTCTGTTAACTTTGCTGTTGTTGTTTACACTGTTGAGAAGTTGTCCGTGTATAGACGTTTCCATAAGCTGAAATGTTCGGCAAATCTCTTTGAAAATTCACATAAAAAATATAAAAAAATATTACTGTTATTAAAAAAAAGACAATCTCTTCTTAGCAATATGTCTCGTTATTATTTATTGATTTGATTTTTTTGCTGTACTGAAGTTAGCCTTTACAAGTAATTTAGAAGAAATAATTATGCTTTTAAATGACTTTAGTTACCTATTTGTTTTAATTTTTGTAGTTAGTAACAAAAATGCAATAAATAAAATGTGTAATTTCGTTTTTGTAAGAAATTTGGTTTGTTTATAGGTAAATAGAAACAGTAATGTTCATTATAATAAGTTAATTGAAAAAAACTTGATATTCCATGTGTTTTATTAAGTGCTACAATTTTACGGAGTTTTTGTAAAATAGTATTATATATAAGGAAACAGGATGACGGATTAAAATGTTAAATTGGATATGAAAGATAAGGAAAGTCACTTAGCTGCATTGGCCTGGCTGCGGCACGATGATTTAGTACTAATTGTAGTTAATGTAATCATACACCGGCTTGACTGTAATGGTTTAATTTCTTTCCAAACTTTGTCGATCAGTATTAATCTTGGTATCTTCAATAATTCATGATGCAACTTCTTGAAAACGTGGTCTTGTGGCACCAACCACTGTAGGTTATATAGGATGCCAATTCTTCCAAATTATATTGTCCTGTCACGGTCGCCACTTTTTATATCTCTTTTTTGGACATAAATGAAACTCCGTATGAGTACGTATGAAATTTTGCTTATTTAAATGGGTCTAGTACGTCGGTAAAGTACGTCGGAAGGTAGTGTACAAAGTAAAAAGTACCTATGAAATAATCAAATAAATCGCTTCTTGGTCCATGGGAGATTGCTGCTGTCGAAACGCAGGCGCGAACAACTAATAACATAACACGGTAATATTATCTATATAGCATTGTGACTCGGCCCTGTCCTTGAAATAACTGCCTACGGCCGAGCGGGGCGTACCCACGCGGTAGGGCTGCCCGCCTACAGTATTTTAATTTCATCTACTTTATTGAGTTTCTTTCTAGTTTTGTGATTGTAAATATTCAAATTTATATGTAAAAAAAATTGTTGTGAATGAATTAGGAAGTGTTCAATAAAAAAACATGTTATTTTTAGGTAATATTTAATAAAAAAATATAGATTTGAAACATAAAAATATTTACGCCTCGACTGAGACGTACGAAAAGCTTTATGATTAATATAAATACGCATTCGCATAATAAGTTTAATTATAAATACTTAAGGGAAACATTGGCAAGGAGCAGAAAAGGGAATATCTTTAACTTCGTTAAGTAGCTACAGGTATATATCCTGCAGCTACTTTACACTTGATGTTTTTTTTAAATGATGTCCGGAATATATATACCATTTTTTCTACATATTCCAAGAAATCATTACTAGGTAACAAGTTGGAACTCGCTGGAGTCCAGATATATTTCAACTGTTATGGTTGAAAGCTACAGGCAAGACAATATAAAAAATAAATTTTTTGCATCGCGTGTTTTTTTTTGCTACTTTGTGCCTCTATTATTGTATCTAGTACTGTAGAACGGTGTTTGTTAAAATTATCTATGTGTAACAGTTCGATTTTCTTTATTACCAGTCTCTGTCTGATTATCCGAATTTCCGATTATCCGAATCGACCCCGGCCCCAATTAATTCGGACTACTGTAATTGCTTTTCGAAATAAGTGCTATATTATTTTATGCTTGTACCTCGCGGGCTCTCCGAGCCACCTGCAGCGCGACCACCGCCTGCCAGTCTTTCTCCCTAGCCTAGCTTTTTTTTAGCGATTATCCCCAAGTTGTGTCAGGTCTTTTCTTTCTTTTGTTTTTTGTTTGTTACTATTATTGTATTTTCGTCAATACTGCTCTTTAGCATGTTTTTTAGTGCTTTTTCTATTGCACAACTTTCTTTTCTTTTCATCCTTTTACAATTATTATACTCTTAATTTCTAATAGCTTTCTTTTACTTTCTTATTTACTCTATTTACATTTCATATTTTATTCCATTAAGAGCCCTTTCACATTTTTTGCAATAAATCGTAATTTTCGAGCGCCTCGTTTACCCCCTTAGAAAAGATTTTGACGATTACCAAAGTTAACAGTAGATATATTCTTACTTTTGTAAGTTAATGTAGACAATTTGGAAATACTGTTTTCCTTTTTTGTACTCATCGTTCTACTGCAGCTAGTTTACGGAAAAAAACGATAATATGCACAACTTCAAACGCCTCAATCTCTCAAAAATAATTAATAAATTACATCAAATTAATTACAATTACATCAGAAATATGTTTTTGTTGTAATATAATGTATTAGAATTTTGATTTTCCATCTCATTAACTATCAAAAAAAACATCTAACCTCTGGAGTTTTCTCAAAAAATAATGCGTTTACCTCGTATTTTGATATTGAATTAAATAGAATTACCATCAAAAACTTTCATAAAACTAATCTACCATCATTGAACTACTGAAAGATGTATATATTTTTATAATACTTAACTTCATTGATAATTATTTTATGCAATATATACTAGTACAAATCTACCTATGCGCTGATTAGTACGGCAGCGGCGCAATTTTGTAAAAGAGCTCTTGCTTCCTGTTATTATCTATGTTTCTTATTTACTACAATTTGCTTATTCTAGACATTTCTTAATACTATTTTACATTATTTGCCCATTTGGCTCTCTGCTTAAATCTAGTATTTACAAGTTTATAATATGGATAGGTATATTACCTACGCTAATCGTCTTTATTCCGTTCAATGACTTTTATTACAATACTTTTACTTTATTTTAGAAGCCCCAGCCTAGCTTGGACTATATTGGGGAGAGAGAGGTTTCATCCTACTTATTAAGCAACTACGCATAGCCCTGCCTCAGATTAACTCCTTTTGAATATCATTGGTGCTATGTTGCATAGAAGGATCTTCACCAGCTTCTACATTTCCATCCATCAGCATCCGATTGGTACATCACTTGGCGGTGATATTCTAGCTCTTGTGCAATGTTATGCAGCACACACACAACATGTATTAGTGTTTTTGCTAGCCATGTTAGGTTGATAGTGAAGAACTCTATCTCGAAGCAATACACCTCCAACGAGCCTGGAGTAATCCGGAACAGCGCTCAACACGAGTCCTGGTTTGGAAATGACGTCGTGTGTACATGTCTTCCTGGGACCCTGGTTCAGCATTTAATACAGGCGTCATTAACCCAGGGCCTCTGTGGATACCCAGAATCTCCTGAAAAATAAATAATTTCTAGATTAAGTATTGTATTTATATTATAACTATAAATGTATTTATGTATATACTCTTATATATAGTTTGCATTATATAGTTTTTCCCACGGGTTGCCTGGCAGAGAATACTTTAGTATTGATCCACCTTTTGTGTTGTTTTTAGTGGTCAATAAAGTGCGATAAATAAATAAATAATGTAGATTGATAGATAAATCGTTTATTCCTATCAGTACAGCACACAAATTCAAGTAAACAAATAGAAGAATTAATTACTAAATATGTAATTGTGTGCCGCAACGACAGAAAAACGCAAAAACTCAGTGATACCTTTGCTCTGAGAGCAAAGCACTGGTTTTCAGTTCTGCCTAGAAATCGCGTAACGTGAAACCGACACCGACGTGATTATTAAATTATTATTGTTATTTTATATATGTTATTATCTTACACCAAAAATTAGTCATTATCACTAGTTATTATTACTTTTTTAGTATTTAGATTAATATTGAATTATCGCACTAATATTTACCCATCAGCCTTGCCCGGATAGCGAAGGATGGCGGGTTCGAGTCACTTTGTTGTTCCATTCCATATGTTTTCGTCGATATTTCTACATACGACTACTTTTAATAAATGTTTTATTACATATAACTACATTAATAAGAATCCTCTCCCGTGTGAACTCTTTGATGTTTGTTTAAATGACTACTTGTAGTAAATCCCTTATCACAGACATTACATTTGTAAGGTCTCTCTCCCGTGTGAAATCTTTGATGAATGGACAAGGAAGTATCTTTAGTAAATGTTTTTTCGCAGACGTTACATTTATAGGGTTTCTCTTCCGTGTGAATTTTTTGATGTGTGTATAAATGACCAGTTCGAGCAAATCTTTTATCACAGATATTACATTTATAAGGTTTCTCTCCCGTGTGAATTTTTTGATGAATGAATAAAGAACTATTTCGATGAAATCTTTTATCACAGACATTACATTTATAAGGTTTCTCTCCCGTGTGAATTGTTTGATGACTGGACCAGGAACCAAATTGGGTAAACCTTTTATCACAGATCTTACATTTATAAGGTTTCTCTCCCGTGTGAATTCTTTGATGTGAGTATAAATGACCAGTTCGAGTAAATCTTTTATCACAGACATTACATTTATAAGGTTTCTCTCCTGTGTGACTTCTTTTATGTACGGTTAAACTACGATTATGAGTAAATCTTTTGTCACAGACATTACATTTGTAAGGTTTCTCACCTGTGTGATTTTTTTTATGTAAGGATAAATCACTTCTTGTAGTAAATCTTTCATCACAGATACTACAATTATACAGAATTTTTTTCAGGTCAGTCTTCATATTGCATTTATTTATCGAATGTCCATGGTTGCTTGTCATTGCAGAACCAATATTATTCTCTAATTTGTTTGTATCAATTAAGTTTATTTCATTAGTCTTAGTATAACTTTGGTTAGTTATGGCGGTAATTTCAGTATGTGATTTACTTATATGACTTAATAATTTGTTTTTACAAAAATATATATTTTTACAGACATCACATATAAAAGTGTCTCCGCTATGGTTTGTGAGTTCGGTGTGTTTGTTCTTCACCATATTGTCGTTTTCATAACCATATTTTGTGAAAATAATTGGTTTAAAGAGACTGTCCTTATTTTTGCATTCTGTAATTCGTTTATTCATATTTGAAGCACTAATTTGAGCTTCGTTTTCAATTCCCATGTTTCCTTCGGTTGCTCTTGATGCTGTTGGAGGCTTGCATTGGTTTTTCTTTTTAATTTCACTGGTCGGCTTACGGTTCTTGTGCAGCTTTGCTTCTGTAAATATAACTTTTTTTTAATGCTCATCATTTGGCTTATATTTAATGGGAACATTAAAAGAGTAAAAAATTGTAAGTATTTCTGTTGGAACTAACAATAAGTATTAAAAATATTATAAATGAATTCTGATAATATTATACTCCTTTTTGGAAGTCGTATAATGAGGATAAAATGAAAATCCCATTACAGACGGCGTTGTATTCGTCTGAGCCCAAGGAAGTTATATATGTTACGGGCAACGTGATTAACTAGGCATTATTAATAAGGACCGGCCATAATTATTAATGCCCAAGAGCGATGGCCAAAGTGATTAGTTTATCACTTTAACCAGCCATTATTAATAATGCCCGACAGCCCGTGGGCCATGTAATATGTCAGTGTTTGAGATAGCTTGAATTTATTTAAGTAATAAATTCATGAAGAATAAATTCAAAATGTTGTAAATGCAAGAAATCAAACATTCTTTACAATTCCAAATGTCACAAAAACTCATCTTACAGGAATAAATAATTCTAAACTTAATAACTTTCTTCAACAGTCCTTAATTATTAGATATTTCTGTTGATTTTTCACAGTTTACTAATCATGCAAACATAACATGTTTCTCGTTGTCTGTGGTAAAAAATATGTTTATTATGTTGGTACTATTGTCAAAATGACAGATGTCTCGCCATTTTGTGTTTTTTTTGAGATCTTGGTAAATAAAAAATATTATGGGCTCAACACTTAAAATAATAGGTAAATGTGGCCTTACAACAATCTTTAATTCAGAACCTTGGTCTTGGTCTGCCCTACCCCTAGTGTTTTTAGAGCCCGGAGGCGCGGAGGGAGAGCTGTGACAAAGCCGCAAACATCGTGCGACCCGTAGCGACTGAGGCTGGTGAAGGTGTGAAGGGGAATGATGCTTGTGACTTTGTCACGCAAAGTCGGAGGGGCTGCTATTCCCGCAGCGCCGGAGATAAGGCAGAAGTACTGGTTATTACTTCCCTAGTCCTTGCATCCTAAAAAATAGGGAACCATAAATTCTGAACATTTAACAGATTTCATGAATTTTTAGGTTAGGTTAATTAAAAAAAAACATACATTTCCGCCTAAAATCTTTAGTATTTAGTACCAAAACTACCCCGAAATTCCACCACAACTAATGGAATTAAGTACCTATTTTTAAACTATTATCTTCAATGGTTTACTTTTTGTTAACATTTCATGAAAATTTTGTAAGTTAACTTTCATTTAATAAACAAAAACATTACAGTTCGCCTATTTTATTACTTTGCCCAAGATACGGTGGGCATTATTCATAATGGCCGGGAAAAGGAATTAATCATGCTGTTTTATTCACATTGACCAATTTAATCGGGCATTATGAATACCTGGACTTACAAATTGCCCGTAACATATACATATTAATACGAAATAATTCAAACCTTCTGACCTTGTCAAAAGTTTAATAGTGACACTAGATGGCGCCGTTCTTAGTGAACCGTATTTGCAAACAGCACCCGTGTTTCATTACGAAATAAAATAGTAAAAGTATGTATTTGCTATTGTAGTGAAGTGAATTCTGAGTGCTAATAAATAAAACCCGCCTCAAATACCTGATTATTACAGCAGTGAACATGAAAATATTTAAAGTTTAGAGACTTGCAAAATTAATTTGGTGATATTTAATCTCAACCTGTAGATAAGTGTATATTCAACATATTCTGGTAACTGTGATGTAACGCTTATACATTGACACACTTCCGTTGGCGTTAATTATCTAATTTGATTTATTTTTTGCCACAATTGGAGGGCTGCATAGATAATTATTAATTTGAATTAATGCATTTAAATTCATGCCTGATAATAGCAACAATATACATATGACTTTCTGCAAATTTGAAGTTGGAAATGAGCACACATTCCTAGCACTATGCAGGCATTGATGACTGTGAGCCAGGATGGTCGGTATGTCAGGTGTCCTGTTATGTGATGAGTGTATGTCAATAATTTAGTTTCTTGCCCATTTATCACCAATCATACATCATGTTCCCACTTACATAACTGATCAAAGCTTTCCTGCATAACGGTTTGTGAAAGATTTATGTTCTTGTTGGCCCCCAGTATACTTTATGACACTATCTTACTTTTGAATGGATGGCCAAATTCATTTGCAGATATTTGATTTGTCAAATTATTTGTTTTGTCAATGTGTGAGATCAATCGTGTCCGTGATGCTAGCGTACCCACGATCAATATACGGTCTTTCGTTATGCCATTAAATACTGCGTAAATAGTGCCAAATTAGTGTAAAAATAAAAAAATAGTGCCTCTTTAATTTAAGAAATAAAGATCATTTTTACTGTGTACGCTACCATAACATCAAGCTAGCGTACCCATGGCCGACCCCAGAACGGCATATAATTAAGCAACGAAATTGACATACAACAATAGTTCGCAAATAGTGCCCTGGCTTTACAAAATTTCATAATCAATACTCTTAAAGGACCAAAGATATTGAACTAAACATTCTTAGCTGGCGTCAACCTGGCGTACCCATAATAGTTCTCATAGAAAATTAAATTTTCTCGTTATCTATTCTATATGTATAAATAGTGTGTCAAATAGTGCCTCTAACCGTAAAAGTATTTTATGTGAATTATTTGAACTATTTACGCAGTATTTAATGGCATAACGAAAAACCGTATATTGGTCATGGGTACGCTAGCATCACGGACACGATCAATCCAAATAAATCACGCAAAGAAAACGGCTCATGTTTCGCTGAATGTGTGCGTGGCTCTAATGTCAGCTTGCTCTAAAGCAATCAATGTGTGCGTGTGTAGGCACGAGCGTATCTACCATATGTAGTAAATGTGTAACGCTTCCGCGCAATAAATACGGTATCTTCTATTTATTAACACTCTTCCTTCACCTTTTCTTCAGAGGACCACGCGCGCTTGCCAACATTGCCACCGATTTACTGTGGCCACTATTCCTACACGAACAAAGAAATTTGGTGACTCATTTCTTTGTCGTACTATTTTATAAGTGGAATTCTTTACCTGCGCAAGTGTTCCCTCCTTCCAATAATCAGGGGTCCTTTAAGAAGCATTTTTGCAGGCCGGCAAGGTGAGGATGATTGATGTAGCAGTTTATAACTGCTGTACGACCTATCTTCGCGTTTGGACTTTATTACCACTTAACATCAGGTGGGGTAGTCATTTGCCTACCTCTATATAAAAAATAAATCTAGTGTGTGTACATAATCAAAGACTTGAGCTTCCCTTATTTTCCAAGACTTTCTAGTATGTGGACCACTCGACATATAATGAATAGAACTAATTTACATAATGTAATGAATAGAACAAGTATATTTTTTTGAATCATATACAGAATGTTACAGAATTCCGAAATAAAATTTGTAGGTATGTATTCCGAAATAAAACTTTGTAGGTATCTGAGCGAGGCGCAGGGGCGCCTGAGAGAAAGAGGGGGGTCTGTTTAGGTAGTAGTAATCGTACGCATTTATAGTGTTGTCAATAGGTAAATTAATTTAATTAGAAAATAAAAGTGGTCTGAAAGGCGTCAAACTTTCGTAGGTAATTCTATACAAGGAACACAACGAAACCCCAAAGTTTTATTTCGGACTTTTGTCACACCCTGTACAAACAGCCTTGACTTAGATACAAATAGTTCGTACCTATTTATCATACAAACATTAGATCCACCAGGATTCGAATCCAGGACCTTTGTGTAGGTGACACTTCGTAAACCTGGAGGCTGACATACATACAAATAACAAATACCTGTTTCACTTTGACCCTGCATCTCCTTGAAAACCAATTCAGACTTCACTTTCTCAACATTGAGAGTAGCCTCTTCCGGGTCATAGCATAATACAGCATACTGCTCAATACTCTCCATTGGTGGCATAGAAAAGTTCCAAGCAATATCAGGTTGTTGCTTCACAATCATATTTAGGGTGTCTGTGGTGATCTATAACAAAAACTTGTCACATAAATTATGTAAAAGAATTTTGCCATAATTAATTAGATTTATCCTTATTACAAAATAGTGACTAAACTTGAACTCCAGTTAATCTAAAAATAATACTGTAACATTTTTGCAGGAGGCAAGGAGAGGGTGGTTGGTGTGGCAGTTTATAACTGCTGTACCAGCTATCTTCGCATTTGGACTTTACCACCACTTAACATCAGGAGGGGTAGTCATTTGCCTACCTGGCTATATAAAAAAAAGGTAACAGTTGAGCCTTCTTGTATAAAGTTAATTTGTTTTTTATTTGTGATTAATCCTTTTTGAGCTCTAGCCACTGCAAGACTTGCATCTTTACATATGACTTTAAGTGTTGAACCTCATTAGTGTCTATGTTATGGGCTAAGTGAATAATGGGGCATTATTCATAATGCTCGAGCAATATGAGTAATGCTCAATAAGAGCAGGCAATGTGATTATAACCTTTTATTAATTTATTACATTGCCCGGGCATTATGAATAATGCCCAGTGACTATTGTACAGAGTGATGTAAAGCATGTTTAATACTTTCAAATGAATACTTAAATAGACCGAGCATTACAAGTAATGAAATAAATTATTGGGTAGAGTAATAATAAAAACATGTTTTACAGTTTACTATTTATTATTAAAATTTAAATAATCAGACTTCGGTTTTACTTCGATCAATTTACGAAGTGCTACATTTAAAAACTATAGTCTATAGTAGTTTCAATGCAGTTTGTTTGAAAAATTCATTAAATCTGTTAAATGTTCAGGACTTATGGTTCCCTATTTTTTAGGGTACAAGGACTAGGGAAGTAAGAACCAGTACTTCTGCCTTATCTCCATCGCTGCGGGAATAGCAGCCCCTCCGCCTTTGCGTGACAAAGTCACATTCACACCTTCGGCTTGTTGCCTCAGGCACTACGGGTCGCGCGATGCTTGCGGTTTTGTCACAGCAGGCGGGGGCTGCTCTCCCTCCGCGCCTCCGGGCTCTAAAAAACACTCTAGAGGTAGGGCGGGCGGGACCACGGCGTGTCGGGGTTGACCAAGTCACTCACATTTTCAATGTTTTAATAATGCCTTATTTTGTTTTTGACTACGCGATCATCTTACAGAGCTCCGTGAATCGTCCAATGTACTTTTTGGACAGGTTTCGGTCCCGATTTTGTTTGTGTTGGTGTATCTAGGGTATTTAATATCGTTGACTATCATCATACAGAGCTTCGTGGATCGTTCAATGTACCTTTTGGACAGGTTTCAGGCACGATTTTGTTCGTGTTGGTGTATCTAGGGTATTTATTATCGTTGAGTTTTGTTTTTAATGTGAGTGTAGGTAGAACTCGTTTTTTTTTTCACCCTATCCACTTATTTATATATTATTCCAGATATTTTGCCTGATGAAAAATCGAAATACCTAAATATTAAAAACAAATTACGTACTGGTAGATAGGTATATAAAAAAAAATCTATAGTCTTACCTTTCCAATATTTCAGGTAATTTAAAAAATTATATCTCTAGGTGCGTTATTGAAGAGTTTAAGCAACCAAAAAGCACAATATCGTCGTTTTTTCTTGCTATATAAAATTATGTAGGTATCTACTTAATTCAATCAAATATTTACAATACAAATCGCATGTTTAAGCATGGCTAACTGCATAAAAAACAGTTCACACCGTTCGGTCGCCGCTGTGGCGCAATCGCAACTGGGTGTCCCCCGAGAGGTGAGTGGCGTAGGTATGATTCACTTTCTGACCATTTGTATGAAGATAGAATACTGTATTATAACATTACCGTAGTTAAGATGTCTAATACAAGATTATTTTATTTATTTAATATAGTTTGTTTATAGTAATTTAAGGTTCTAACAAAGGTTATGGACAGTAAGTACTTTAAAAGTTTAATAAGGTGCTTTGGGGTAAAGGCGAAAAAGAGTTTATTCCGAAAATAATGAATTACTACCAAAGTAGTCAATATTTTTTGCTCTGGCAACATTAATATGGTCGCCATCTTATTTTTTTCCCTTGCGTCAGTCCTGCCATGAAGCTTGTGCTGATCGTATGCGTACAACATTTATTTTTCTAACGCGACTATAGTTTCATTGTTTTGTGAATCATCGGAATTACCCCGAGATCTTTTTCTCTGTTGTTTGGTAAGTAATCTTCCTCATTGTTTGTTTGAATGATAGGTTATCGATTTAGGCATTGTTTTGTACAGGTTAGGATACAGTAGCTACCAATTTTACTTTTTTTCGGAAAGCCCCGCAGGGGTGATTATGAATGAAAAATATTTCGAATTTACCCCAAAATGTTATTTCTTGATGAATTGCAGTGCTTGTCAACATTTTTAATTTGTTTCACAAATTCTGAGCGCTGACTTTAAATGAATATGCATGCATTGTTTTGTCATATCAGTTGTCAGTTTCCGACTAAATAAATAAGTAAACTAAAATCGAATAAATAATAAATACATTGTTATTTAATAATTGTTGTAAGTACAACTATGCCAATATTGTCAGGTGACGTTGTTTTTAATACGGAAGATGAATCACACTAATATTATAAAGGCGAAAGTTTGTTAGGGTGTATGTATGTTTGTTACTTCTTCACGCAAAAACTACTGAACGGATATGGATGAAATGAATTGGCACAGAGATAGATTAGGTCTGGAATAACATATAGGCTACTTTTTATCCCGATAAACACAGTTCCTGTAGGATACAAAAATAGTAGTTTACGCGTGCGAAGTCGCGGGCAACAGCTAGTATAAAATATTTACAAAACTAATTTTGTTCCAGAAGAAAATGCCGCGGAACTTTAAACGAAAAAACTACCAAAATACACGCAAGATTATATGGCTAAGGCAATCCAAGCCGTATTGAAGGATGAACACACACACATACACACACAGTTCTTAACCATTTACTTACTGATTTGTATGCTGAAATTTTGTTTTGTGATTACTTTTTTTAATACAGGATTTAGTACATTAACCTCTGTTCTTTAATTTAAAATAATATTGTTTGTTTTCGACGGTTAACATTAACCTGGTACTGCCGTTTATTTATGTTATTTATTGAGTATCTAATTTATTTTATTCGTTAAATGTAAGTTTTTCAAAGAACCAAAATATATGAAACTGTCGTTTTAAGTGAAACAAGAACTCTTTCATTTATTAACTTGTTTCTTTTTCTCCTACAGTCCTAGATCATTAAGCCTGTCCTTATCTATAGTTGCATTGCACTAGTCCTATCAGATTTATTTTTACCAACAATTTAATGTTTAGAACCACTGGACTATAAGCGGGGTAATTCCGAAAATCAAAGTAATCAAAAGTGTGTTTGGGCAAACTACAAAGGATATCAGTTTTTCTTTCAAAGCGGGGTAAATTCGTAAGTTAAAGTAAATGAAATCTTAAGTTTGAGCTCACAAATATGACTTTTAAGTAACATTCGGAATTACCCCAACATATTTCGAAATTACACCTATCAATATAAAAAAATACACCAAAATTTTAAAAGCTTGAATTAACGTAATGTGATAATATTGATAAGAAAAGCTTATCGAAAGACGTTGGACATATATTTCTGTTAAAATAACTGACAGCAGCTGCTTATAAACCTTGCAGAGTTAGAAATAAAAAAATAAATTCAAAACATTTATATCAACTAATCAGAAAATAATCCGGAATTACCCCAAAGCACCTTATAAAAAAGAATAAAGTTGAAAAATGTTGTCAATAAGGCCACAACTAAAGACTGAAAATTTTCAATCATGGAAGTATAGGGTAAAAGCAATTTTTAATGGCGAAGACAATGAAAATGATAAAAACTTTAAAATAAACGATGCAAAAGCAAAATCTATAATAATTCAATGCGTCACTAACAAACATTTGACGATCATTCAAAACACAAAGACAGCAAAACAAATGTTTGAAAAATTAGATAGTGTATTAATTACTTTATTCCATGTTTTGTTCAAAACTGTACAAAGACTGTGTTAATGTATTCACAGCTTTTTTATTAAGGAGTACTAAACAATATTTGAAGACACAAAAAAAGTGCAAGCAATTAAACCACTAAGAAATAATTCTCTGCAAATATTCTTTATTCCAAAACGCAAACTAAAGTTACAGCAAACAAAAGCTGCTTTGAAACAGAACTTTCTACTGAAATAGTTGTATGTTTTTAATAAGTTCTTACCTCAGCCTCGGAACTGATGAGTTGCAACAGGAGCTTGTTCGCCTTTAGTGATTTATCTATAAACTTTTTGAATTTTCTCATCATATGGTAGCAAATGTAGCATATGCATGTCGGCCATATGTCACCCATTACAAGCTAAAAACACATCACACTATCACATTAATGATACATTTTGAAGAAGAGAATATTTTTATTATTTTTATAAGGACTAAAGTAATTGTGCAATATCATTAAGTTCTTAAAATCAGTTAATATAATTCATAATCCACAGAACTGCTTTTAAATGGCCGTTTAGTGACAGATCATTGATTCTTAAATAATGAAAATTATTTATATCTGTCTGCATTTGTACACCCAAGCTCTTGAATGAGGTAGAGCAAACTTACCTTTCAGAGCTTTTCAGGTATAGTTTAACACAAAATAATATAGTTTTGTAAAATTTTAACATAATTCCATTAAATATTTCGACGACCTCCGTGGCCGAGTGGTTTGTACGCCGGGCTTCATGGTGTCGCCGACTCGAGAGGTGCCGGGTTCGAATCCCGGTGGGGGCAGATGTTTGTGTGATGAACACTAGCATTTGTATTCCAGTCATGGATGTTTAATATGTATTTCTATATAAATATAATTATATATATAAAGTATATGTATTCTATCCATTACCCTAGTATCCCATAACACAAGCCTTGTAGTGCTTACTTTGGGGCTAGGCTAATTGGTGTGAGTGTTGGAAATATTTGTTTATTATTTATTTACTTATATACATTTACTATTAATAAAATTTAAATTTTATGTTTTAAAATAACCGAATCGTTAATTTTAATGACTAAGTGCGCGTCTCTAATGACAATGAAGGACAATAATTATTTCTTTGAAATTTGGAACTAATTTCGAATTCCGATTGAGGCTTCATGGGCATACCTCAAAATGGCCATCATAGCTTGCTGCTACTATAATTACCATTTTTGTCCAGAAATTACATTTAAGTTTCCAAAACCACTTTGGTCACCATCACCATTATTTCATTTAGATCAGCCGCAAAGAATAATTCATTAAACGAATTACGGAAACGACTACTGTAGCAATCAGAGATGAAAGATCTTACCGGAATTTGAGTGATATTTTCAAAAATCTGTTGAAGTGGCCCATTCAATATTGAATACATACGGCTATGATGTGCCAAGCATACTCTGCATGCTTGTAAACGAGACATGATTGATTGAATATTTTCAGTCAACTTTTGGGTAAAACCTCTGAATTTGCAGCACAGAACACAAACCCAAACCCCAAGGTAGAATTTTCCAATTTAAGTACTCTTTGGGTGGGTAGAATTCTTCTTCTTCTTTAATTATGGCATGACGGCTAATGTTGCCATTTGCCATATGCGAGCTTTATTTGATGTGATTGGGTAGTAAATCGATTAAACTTTATCGATTAAAGGGGCAGAGTATGGATAGTTGGTGGTTGGATAATGTGGTGATAACAGACGGTAAAAAGTAGGAAACGATATTAACAAGATAAAAGGGAGATTTGCGATGAATAACAACAAGGAACAACAGGTGAGTAGGTAGGGGAATATAGGTAAATAAAGGGAACCAAAGTATAAATATAAATATGAAGATAAACTAAATTTTTATATCATTTTTTCTGATAAACTTAGATAAACTTATATATACATCAGGATTATTATTATAAAGAAGGGAAGGAATGGACGTAGGAAAAGGAATATTTGCTGTATTCAATGAATCTAAAAAGGCGGTTCTGTTATATCTGGGGCAAGAAAAGAAAATATGGTTAACGTCAGCATCAACCTCGCCACATTCACATGTGGACGTATCTATTATACCATATTTTGCCAAACGATCAGGAGTACAAACATGTCCGAGGCGCATTCGGATTAAAATTGTAGTAACTGATTTACTAAACCTTAATTTGGAAAACCAAGGTTTAGTAAGTAAAGTTGGTTGTAATGAGCGATAGTACTTAGCTTTTGATTTATTACTCTCCACCCATAACCTGGACCATGAATCTTGTAATGTTGTTTGTGACATATTAATTAAATCATGAGAGTAGTTCTTATAATAATAAAGATCACCACATTTTACTGCGTCCCGAGCGAGGTAATCGGCATATTCGTTACCAATTATGCCACAATGGCTAGGTATCCAGGCAAAAGACACCGAATATCCCTTTAATAAACTTAAATAAAGCAACTCCCTTGTCTTTAAGATTAATGGATAATTTTTTGATCTGAATGGGAATTTTGCTAGCGCATATAATGCGCTTAAGGAGTCAGTAAAAATAATGGTGTTCTTTAGTTTAGCCAGCCTTATATATTCTACTGCTTTGTAGATACCGAGGCACTCGGCAGTAAAAACTGAAGTCTGTGGAGGCAGACGTATTTTTTGTTGAATCTTGTAGTTGCTGTGGAAGATTCCAACTCCAACGTCCTGCTGTGCGGTTTTAGACGCATCAGTAAATATTTTGTGCCATTGGTGCCAGGTCTCACTTACTATAGCATTAAAGTAGACATTTGCATTAGCCTTATCGTCGATGTGGAGGTTATAAATTATATTAGGGTTAATAGATAAAGCATCATAGTCTGTATTAAAAATAGGGGGAATATGGAAGTGATGGACCGGAATGTCTTCAGCTTTGTATCTATTAAAGGTTTTAACTAGTGGTGGAAGGCTCTTACGAGACCAATAAGTAGCCGTAATAACCTTTTCCGACAAAATTCTTAATTTTTCAATAACTGGGTTGTTTGTCAATTGAACGGCCTTATAAAAATATCTATCGGCTAAATACTGTCTACGAAGGTGTAATGGAGGATCATTGCATTCTACCTGTAACGCGCATATAGGGCTAGACCTCATGGCACCATAAATTATTCGTAAGGCTTTTGACTGAATACTATCCAATTTCCGAAGAGCGCCAGCATTTCCTGGCTCCAACAAAAAAGTACCATAGTCTAATATGCTTCTCACAAGGGCAATGTAAAGCAATCTCAACGAAGTCGGATGGCTGCCCCACCAAACGCCAGCAAGACATCTTAAAATATTAATATTACGTTCACATTTTGCTGATATATATTCACAATGAGATTTCCCGGTGAGCTTAGTATCAAGAATGATACCTAAATACATTACTTCTTGCTTCTGCAGCAGGCAAGTTTCACCAAAGCATACATTAAGGTCAGGCGGGTTTCTCATCCTAGAAAAAAGTACTAAAATTGTCTTAGAAACAGACAACTCTAGGCCGTTTCTATCTAACCATTTTTTAAATAATGATAACGAATAATTTATATCATTGTTTATGTTATTTACAGACTTATTATTACAGTATAAAACTACATCATCGGCATATTGAATAACCGAGCAAGAGCTATCTAAGGAATCTTCAAGATCATGGGTATATAGATTGTAAAGCAACGGACTGATGACTGACCCTTGTGGTAAGCCTTTTATCGCTGTTCTTTCAATTGTTGTATCATCTATATGAAGTATTAGATATCTTTCAGAAAACAGATTTATAATAAAATTGGTTAGCATTACGGGAATTTGCAAATCAACTAATTTATCGCGTAAAATCGATAAATTAACATTATCATATGCTGACTTTATGTCGAGAAAGACCGCCCCAACTGATTCATTATCGGAAAAAGCTATCCGGATATCTGATGTTAAAATTCCAATACAGTCCGATGTGCTTCTGTTTCTCCTAAAACCGTATTGGCTATTTGACAAAAGATTCTTGCTCTCAACTAACCACTCTAATCTATTTTTCAAAAGGTGTTCAGCTATTTTAACCAGTACTGTAGAAAGAATAATCGGTCGATAAGATGATACATCAGCAGGCGATTTATTCGGTTTTAGTAATGGCAATACTGTTTGTTGCCTCCATGATGGAGGAATATTACCTGTCAGCATCACAGAGTTTATAATTTGTAAATAATAATTTTGGGTATTATCACTCAGATTAGTTACAAAGGAATACGGAATATTGTCTTTACCTGGACAAGAGTCTTTAAGATTAGCAAGGATCCCTTTTAGCTCTTGCATAGAAAATGGAGAATTTAAACCGAAATTATTTTGATACGGTGAAAGTATTAATATCTCTTTTACTGATGGTGGAACTAAGTTATCCATGAATTGTTCGGCTAAATGTAAAGATAGACTACAGATAGATGGTTCAACAAAAGCAGAGCGAAATCTACGTATGTTACGCCAAACTATAGACGGATGGGTTTGAGGACTAACTGAAGCACAAAATTTTTTCCAGGATTCTGACTTTTTCCTCTTTAACGATTTTTTAACTTCAGATGTAACCCGTAAAAGAACTGCAAAGTTTTCCGTGGTCATATTTTCGCGATACTGGCGCTCAGCCTTCTTTCTCCGGGAAATCTCCAAAGTACAATCTTTGTCCCACCAGGGTGGTGAGGGGATTAAATTACTACATGAATTTTTAATAGGAAATATACTATCAGCAACTTCAACCATACATCTAGCCAAAGCTGCAGAGCATTCATCTTCATTACCATTTTCCAAGATGGGTAGTGTTAAAAATTTTTCTTCCACTTTGTTTTTGTATACAGAAAAATTTACATTATGAAGTTTATATTTATTAAATGTTTTTCTCTTAACAGACTTTTTATTTGCAAATGGAAAGGTTAATATTATTGGAAAGTGATCACTTCCAAAAGATGAGGTGAGAGGATGCCAGAGTAATGATGATGCAAGGCTAGGTGTACAAATTGAGAGGTCAACAGCACTAATAAAATCTGTGGGGCTAGTAACACGGGTAGGAATACCAGTGTTAAGTAAACACAAATTGTTTTTATCCAATATGTCCATAAGTTGCTCTCCTACGCTATTTGTGGTTGAACTGCCCCAAGACTGGTGGTGACTGTTGAAATCACCAAGCACTATAAAAGGTTTTGGAAGTAGAGATAGAAGGTTATTGATTTCATTCAAAATAGATGTAGTTGGGTGAGGTACATAAATCGACACAAAACAGATATTGTTTACAATTGCAGCAATAGCAGAGTATTCGCTACAAGGTAAAGGTAATACAAAATGTTTATATTGGTAAAAGTTCTTTATCAATAGAGCAACACCGCCATGGCCATCTGCTCTATCTTGTCTTAAACAAAAATATCCTGGAATTTTGAAATTAAATCCTAATTTTAACCAGGTTTCTGATAGTGAAATAATAAATGGATTGTATGTATTTATTAAGTAAATAAGATCAGTTTTCTTGTTATTGATGCTGCGGCAATTCCATTGAATAACTTTGGCCAATTGAGCCATGATTTGAATGTGTAATTTTATTAAGAAGGTCTAGTAAAGGAGCAACGTGGGACGGTTCATAATTATTAAATTGAGTTAAAAAATTTATTAGAGGGACAATTACATCTGTAATTGTCAAATTTGAATTCTTGTTAAATTCATGTATAATAGCGGTACCATTACCACTGTTGTTGGGCATATCATAATCTTTGATCATATTCATATGTTTTGCTTGATTAAACCCCATATGAACAGAAGGTGAACGAACTTTAGGTTTCATAAAGACAGTTTTTTTATAAGAATTATGTTGAGTATCATTTTTAATTGGTGTAGTTTTAAAATTAGAGGATGCCTTAGTTGGCTGGGATGTTAGTACCTCAGAGTAAGACTTATTAACAGATGGATGGACTTTTGCTGCCTCAAAATAAGAAGTATTATCATTTGCCATAGTCACTTTTTATACGCCTTTGTCTTTCGTATTCTGGACAAACTCGTTTACTAGCAAAGTGGGAACCAGAACAATTACAACATTGTGCATCTTCTTCCTCAACTGAACATGTATCACCAGTATGATCCTGACCACACTTAAAGCAGCGAGGTTTAGACCTGCACTGCAGTTTAGTATGCCCAAAACGACAGCAGTTAAAACATTGAACTGTTGGATATATATAGCGGTCTACAACTAATGCATTATAGCATAAAAATACACGGGAAGGAAGTACTTGGCCATCAAAGGTAATAACTACTGACTGGGTAGGTTTCCATGTCACAGTATTATCAATAAAAACTTTATGGTTAATACGTCTTATTTTAATTATCTCTCCGCAGCCTACAGGAAGAGTGATTTTTTCTTTTATTTCATCAGGAGTCCAATCATGTGGTACTCCACGCACAAGACCCATTTGGGTTA